CTTGCAAGCGTTGCGTGTGTTGGGCCGGAAAGTTAAGTCTCGCGTTCGCACTGTCTGGCATTAGATCAAACAAAAGGGGTGTTGAATGAATATCGGGGCGTAGGCGGCAATGAAAGGAACCAGTTGCCTGAAGTATGATTATGTCGCGAGAAGCAATCCGTTCTGAGTGAACGAAGTCGCGGAGGCAGTCGTCAAAGAAAGAGGTTACAGAGAGCCAAGTCAAAGAGGCAGTTCGTCTTTCAGCCGTGTCGTTGAGACGCGTGCACGTGTCTCGATTCGAGGAGACGAAGGAACTCGAGTTGCTCAAGTCATCGTCGGAGAAACGCGTTTCATCAAAACTTGTGGCTTGTATGTATACTCCGCTTCGCAGTGAGCTTCATTCAGCCGGTAGTTTGGAAGACTCGAGGATCTTGGAATTTAAATGAACAATGGAATATAAATGGAATTTTGCGAATGGGATAAATGCGAGCGTAAAGTGCAAAACCCGGTTTGGCGAAATTTTCGTTTAAAGTTCGATTGGCCGGCTGCTGGTATCCGGCGATCAAAGTTCCGCGATAATTAAGCACATAATTAGCAATAACACTTCCGGGAACTTGCGTGAAAGGGCCCTCGATGTTTCGGTAATCGGAGCAGAAAGAATCTTCAGAAGTTGCAGTGGCAGGAAATGCAATTAGAGTTCTCCGAGTGGATAATACGCCGCAATTAGAACTTTCAGCTAACTGTGATATTCGGTCACGAAGCATTCGATGACTACACCGCTTCAATCTTCGATAACTGTACACGTTTATCGGCGGATAAACATTTTAAGGCCGCTAGACCACCGAGTAAAAAATCGATCTAAAATTGATAAAAATCTCACTTGGTCAGAATATTTCGACCAATCTATCAATATGTCAGTTAATCCTTTCGTCAAGTACTGCGTGCCCTCGTTTTTCATCATTTTCTGTCGTGCTTCTTCAACGAGACTGTCACGTAAATTGCATCGCATATAAGTCTGAGCCCCTCTACTCGAAAATTTCTTGTTCCATCGATGTCTCGGCGGTAGACATTGAAATCCGCCCCTCTACGTTGGCTGTTTTCTAAAGTTTAACATATACCCGGGAATATTGCGGCACTTTTCCAACGAGATCCCCCGGCAGAAGAGGCGTGTGCATTCGAGGCACGTAATCCATGCTTCGCCGTGTGTCGTCGAAGATAAATGAGCCGTTCCCCATACCTAGGCAGGAGAAATTTTGTTCTATCGACGAAATCGCCAGCTTATTATCGACTTGCGTCGCCATTTACGACGATTAAACGGATTACAGGTCAGACATGATCATCACGCGCGGTCACAAAAGGTGTTAAAACGAACGTGGTAAGTGTCAGTGCGCTGTAATGCCGTGAAATTTTGCCGAAACTCGTCTCGAATCATGGACCGTGAAACCTCGTCGTGTCGGGCACTTAAATTCAAATCGATGGAACGATTTCTCTTCAATGTTCAAACTGGCGAGTTCTTCCACCGCGCGAAACAAAGAGTTGAATACAATCGATGATTTTCCACATTTTTCGTGACCACTATCAAATTGGAATGAAAGTTTATGACTTCGTCGTTGCTTTCGTGGCCACGGTAAAATTTTTACGATATGGGCCATTCCCCTGTCCCTCTGTTTTTCTATTTTTCTCGCCATACCTGTCGCTATCTCGTCTCGCCCGCTTTCCGCGTGGCCAGAGATTATTTTCACCATTTCAACGGTCGTAACTCGCCGACAACCGGTTAGTGGAAGATTGTTCTCGTGATTTCCACTTTCATGGTCCCTCCATCGTGAAATCCATTCTGGTTAATAGACGACAATGCCCGAAACGAATACAGGCGTTTTCAAAAATGCCTCTGTGTCGTTGAAGTATGAAACTGAAAATGAAATAACAGATTGAAACGACGATGTATCTTGTTCTATTTATAGAAGACATTTTATACGTGCTGCACGCAGAATGTTAAAAGCTTGATAGTTTATCGTTCTTGCAATTTGATTAAAATCCACCCTTGGAGAATTACAGCTCTCAAAGACCCATTCGTCTGGCGACAAACGTCGAAAAATATTCGATCTCCGAATTTTCACGCAACAATCACGGTAAATCAAATGTGGAAACGGGGAGAGGGAGAATAGACACACGACGATGGGTCTTGCTACGGTGTTTTGCCAAGTTCGATCGGGCAGAAATCGTCGGTGCTTTCAGCGGTCGTGTTCGCGATATGTTGCTTAAACGGTGATCCCAAAGTTCGACCGTAAAACGGAACATTTTTCACCGGGGGAACGAAGAGAGAAAGAGGGATGGTGCCGTGTCATTTCGTGCATTTCGCGTTTGGCCAGTTGCCATGCTAGCTGGGAATCACGAATAGAACTATCGCGTGTCGCGACCGATGGAAATTAAATCGTAAAATTTTCGACACTGCGTCGATTCGGTGGCCTTTGTGTTTCGATCGTGGCTCTCTCGGATAACCGTGGATAGCCGGGAACAGTTTCGAGGTTTTCCTCCGCGAGAAAGTTTTCTCGAGCGCGGGTCATCGTGCTCCGGCACGAAGTCCTCTCGAAGCACGCCGACTTTTTCTATAAATCAACGGTCTCGTCTTCCATAGAGACTTTGGAATGGAACGTTTAACCCAGTGCATCTTGGATCTGCGACGAGACGTTTCACAAATTTTTCCAGTGAATAGATGAATTCCGCGGAGCTCTCAAAGGAAACGAGAAAGTTTGACGTTTACAATTTTCCTCGTTGCCATTCCAGCGCCTATCTTCTAGTAATATTTCAAGAGCTCTCGCAGATTGGTAAATATCGAGCACCCTCGAAGTTTCATGAACCCTCGCTATAAATTTCACGTTGTGAACGAACAAAGGCGATTCGAATCCAGTGCCGATTTCTGACAAAGTGGCTACTTCCGAAACGAGTTGCCATTGAAACGTCGAGTTGAATTCTACGAGCTAGAAAAAGAGATGTTAATTAATGTAGCTCTTCCCTTTACGCACGATAGAGGAGGGAGGGGAGGGGAAGTCTTTGTTCCGTTGGCTCAATGAGGACGACAGAGTTGTGTTTGCAAACGTGGCCCTTTTGATATCTTCGATTCGAAGGAAAGATCAATAGAGTCGATTCGTTTCATTGGCATGTCGAATGTTTGGAAAAAAAACTGAGTGAGGGATAATTACACGTGGCTGTTTGGAGAGAAAATGATCGCAACCTGTTAATTGAAATCATCGAGTGTCTGTTACGCGAAGGGCGTAGCTGTGTAGCGTAGTATAGTTCACGGATAGTGAAAGTAGACGAGCGAGGTGTAGACGGCTTGAATGAAAGATCACCAGGAACGTTTTCGAATCGCCTTTGATAGAGGAATTAACTGGGAATTGGTCTCTCAGGCGGCATCGATCGGCCAGCTCCTTTTGCTTTTGGCAAGTGATCCGAGAAGTAAATTGCCTTAAGTGGGCGATAACGCTCTTCGCCGGCGAAGAGACTGACTGAGATACGGCTGTTGCATAGAATGTAAATACATAGACGAGGAGAAAGGCGAAGAGAAGGCAAACCCGTAACGTGGATGGTTCCCTTATCCGCGTACACCTCACGCACAGCTGTGTACATAGATTTTCAGCTCGTGAGCAGTTCGATGAGTTGGGTGATGCCTTTGTGCTTAGCTCTCGCGGTCTGCATGCACACGAACGGGCACGAACACGCGGCCTGAAACACGTTGATGAGTTCTTCGCTGTGCAATAACACGTTCCTATCCTCCGTCCGACACTCGAGCTTCCACTTGTTCCTGCTGTTCCTGCCCCGGCCGCGAAATGTCTGCCGCCGTATATATGCAGTAATGTCCAGGAGATACTCGACATATCTGCGTGACGTCTCGAGGCTGCAGATGTCGCATCAGGGCATTAGCATCGGTCTCAGGATACTCTGGTGATTTTCGAGAACATCTCGGAAATGTCCTCGATCCTATCTTCCACGAGCAGACGAGCAGAAACATATAGCAGACCGAGCGAGCAAACGAGAGCAAGGGCTGAGGTGGGGTGGGTTGTGGTGGGTGGGAGGGAGCGAAATAGAGAGTATTCTGATGCCGATGAATTCTGATGGATCGCGTGTTTGCGCAATCCTAGTCATTGATATTTACGATGGAATTGTTCCCCTGCGTCGTGATGTCAAGGATGGAAAGGATGCTGGTTCCGGCGTCCGCCACAGATACATATTCGAGTCTCAATTTCGACCACCTTGATTCTTCACGATGGAACATGAAATTCTGTGTGCAATTGTATTAATTCTTCATTCTGTAATCTGATCCATTCCGTGCTTGCGGATTCCGTTGCGCGGGATTGCGACGATAAATCAACAGGGGAAGAAGTTGCGACGTCCGCTAATTTCTCGGCGAACCAATGCATCATCCGTGAAGAAAGAAAAGGCGGTCAGAGTTCCTTTGGATCGTGTCGCGTCATCGCGCAATTTTTCCAAGCCTTTGTGCTGTGGGGATTTCCGCGACAAAAGCAATAAATCCACCGTCTATCCGCCATGCGGAACTGACCTACGACTGGCGTGTCGCGTCTGCGTACACGTAGTAAGCCCCTTTCTGACCAATCCCTGGGAACAGGCAACATTTTAGCACAATACGTCCATCCTCGTCTTGAGTCGAGCAGCAATCTAGAGAACGGAATGTAATTCTCTCTCTGTGCATGAATTCAAACCTGTGAATGAATTTGCTTCAAACTCAGTAACTGCAGTGACGTCTTTGCGAGCAAATTTTCGTCGACGAGAGGGGAAAATCCCTGGCTTCTTATGATGCAAATTGTCGATCGCAGTGGGCAGCTCGAGTCTGGAAAATGCGTAGACGATGATCGAGCTAGGAGAAATTTTTCACAATTTTGAGTCGATTAGATAAAACTATATGAAACTACACTCGCCATTATTTCCTGGCCAAAAACTATCGTGTGCGTACGAACTGAGAAATTATTTGGCGCATGGATAATTAATTACAGGGAAGTGAATCCTTTGAGAGGTTCTGTGTTTCGCTATACAGAACATTGGTAGGCTACTGTCTTTGATTAAAGGAAATGAATAAGTAGGGAACGCATTGGTGCGGGGTCGTAGCTACAGACTATCGCTGCTCAAGCTTCCGAAATGCTCATTGTCAGTGCTTTGTGTTAATTACACGCAAGGAATGCTCGGATGCGCCAACTCCGGACATAATCTAACAGCCGTCACGCAGATGATTAACATTCCCCGCTAATTAGCGATACTGCTTGTCAATCAACGTAGCAATCTTTTACGACGTACAAGGCAATCAGATAAAGACTCTATACATCATTGTTGTACCTCGTAGATTCGAAATGTATGAGTCAATTACGACGATATTTCGCATCTTTTCCCTCTCCGGATATCTCTATGATATCTCTGCGTCTTAATGTAACTTGTAATCAACTTCTCTGTATTCTCACCTTCATTCGTCTTCTCTGTCTTTAGAACAAGTTTGGCTTCGTGTGCTCGTTGTTTAAAGTTGTACACAGGCTCATTCGCCAGTGGAATTAACGTTAATTGGATACGGATCGCGGAACGCTGTTTAACGTCGCTAAACGCTCACTGTCACGTACTCGTTTGTGCAGAGATGTATTCGAGGGCCCCATGATCGCGAGATCGACTGCGTGAACGACGCGCGAATACTTTTGCATAATCCCCGCCGCGCCATCTGCCCCTTCACTTAGACCATCGAATATGTATGAGGGAATAACAGGGAAAATGAATTCGCTAATGTTTACAGGCTATCCGCCGTCTCGGCGATCTTTCGTGATCACGCACTTTAACGAATTACCAAATTCACCGGTGAACATTAGGGCCTGAATATCGTTACAGGGGAATTACTCGTATTATCCGAAAGAAGAAGACTACAAGGGAGATACTTCAGGGAATCTATCTCGAAAATTCTAGCACTTGGCTCAGCCAACGGTTAAAAAACGTTTTTCGCAAGGATTTCGGGCATAGTGCGAAAGATTCGTAGGATTCTCACGACAAAAACGTTTCACCTCGGAGGTATGAATGTAAGAGTAGTGTAGGGAACAGTTGTCAAAGATGTGGCGGTACGCTGCAACATCGTCGAGATAATTCCTTTATCAGCATTCTATCTGAAACGTCAAAACGGATCAACTTCTGTCGTTGGCAGCCTCATTCTCCGGCAAGTGCACGCCATTTCCCCAGAGATTGGATTTCACAGTTCTCCATAGAATTGTTATAATAGTAAAATTAAAGCTGCAGCTGCGGTTCGCCGAAAGCTGTGCAGGCTATGGCATGATTTGCGGTCGAATAATGCATGCGACTCTCGATTCCTCGTGTATACCGATTGCTACTTTATCGTGGACTTCAAAGAAACTATCGATGAAAATATTATTATCCCTCAATTGCGTCATGTTTTTTTATAAACTGATCGACGTTTTATAACGATAATGTTACCGCATCTTCAAACGAGTGGTTTTTAAACGTATGCTTTTTAATAGAAATTTCTTCTGCTATTTTTATCAGAAGGGATACGTCATATATTATGAGATTACAGGCGGTGATCGATAGCCGATGTCAATCGATCTCAGTTTCCTGTACCAAGAGAGCATGATGAAAAATTGCACGTTCAAAATGGGGGGATTAAAACGACGTCATTCAGTGACACATGCCCCTACGACCAGGCTGAAGGGGTAATTCAGCATACGGTAAAGTGGTTTGAAGACTACTCGGTTTTCGGTTTTCTGAACTCGAAAACACGTATAATGATCCATGAAACGAGCGGGGAATAATCTTACCGCAAACGAGAAACAGTCGGACGGGGCGCGCACGCGCGTCATGGTGGACTCGTTTAAATTTAAATCGTCAGGTTTCCGGTGGCAGGCAGCCGGGATTCAACCATAATACGAAATACGCGGTGACGGTGAACCGCGATAAACAGGAACGACCCAGAATTCCCTCGGGACGTAAAATCGAAACTTGAAACTATCGGCACCGGCGTCGAAAGTTGAACGCACGCGTAACACGATGTTGCGAGCCACGCAAAAATTCGGATTTTTTTCGCAATTTTTTTTTTTTTTTTTTTTTTTTGATACACCGACCGGATGTATCGGAATACAGCGTCGCAACTGTGTTTTTCGTGCAGCTCGACGAAATTATTAAACTATTTAAATTTAAAGCGCATAAATGCCTCTAGCGCGCCATCATTTTATTCCATCGGGCGAGCTTTCAGTTTTCATTCATATTTCCTCCCAATAGCACGTTTCATGCAAACGATTTTCAATATGATAACACTTGTATGCACGTGTAAGACGTGGTACACGGATGTATATGAAATATTTTTGTATTTCTTTGCACAGATACATATTCAGAAATAAACAAAAATATTGAGGCAGCCATCGTTTTGTCCGATAGTATAGTTTACAGGGCAGCGCGGCATCGTGTCGTTTTTATCGATGACTAGTTTTTTGTAGTTTCGGGCTCAAAGCCGAATTCAATAGGCAGTTCGTATCTGTTTCTGGCACTCGTGCGGTTTTCCAGTATTATTGTTTTTGTCAGGTTTTCGTGGTCGATATGAACACTTAGAGCGTCGTTTTTAATTCCACTCTCTGTTTCCCGAACAGAAAACGAAGTTGGTTAAACGGTCGTGTAATTGTGCGACGTGACGATGTGGATTTTGTATTTGTTTCATTTACCTTGCGCCATACTCGGGAACATTGTGACGTGTAGTTCAATTTACATTTATAGCTGTCTGGTAAATGTCGACGCAATGTTGAAGTCCATTATATAGTTTCTATTGAAGGGAAGAGAGCGATGTGCTCTTTAATCCTTTATATCTTGAGTGTGCTTAAAAATACCACCCTGTATGAACGCTTATGTCATTTCAACACAACAATTTCTCATTATACTAAAAACATTATATGGTCGATGGAAAATAATATAATATTTATATATTCTTATACTTTCTAATCGCAGTTGCAAGTCTGTCAGTATTTTACATTGAATTATTCTAAAATTTATTTTACTATTCTCTCCGGGATATCTTAATCATTCCACTATAACATGCAACACGGATATCACTAAAAAATGTTTAACGTACCTAACTGTCTGTGGAAACAATATTTTTTCAATGATCAAACAAATGATCGACGTGTACGCGAAACGAAAACTGTCTAGAATACGACAGCATTGTTTCGGCATTCTATTCTGCGTTCCGGTGGGAAAAAGTTCAACCTGTAGCTTCAACCTCTGTTTCTTTGACTTCTCCGAGGGAGGACGAACCGATCCGTCAACTTTCCAACAGGCGATGATCACAGGGGCATGAAACCGTGACACTTGGTTCGGCAATTTTGCAAGGAGGCCAACCGTCGACGGCGGCAAAGCATTCACACTAGAATTAGTGCGGACCGATGCGCGAGCTTTGCTTCAAATTCAGTAGCCCGTACAGAGAAGTCTCTGTAATTAGCTAGTTCGCTTTTTCTCCCCCGTTTTCCTCTCTCTCTCTTTCTATCGTACGCTTTGCCGCCAGTGTCGCCGCCAGTTTTCCTCTTTCTCTCTCGTCTGGTTGGCGGAGTCTGTTTGCCCGTGGCCCGAAAAACCTCTACAGGCTGACGTGTAAACGACATTAGGAGAGTTCACAGGCTGAGTTTCGTCGATGGCCCGGCCAGCTAGAACACCCGTTTGATGCAAACTTTACGGAAGAGCGGATCTGCGGTCGGCTGCGCGGTGGCCAAGTCCGCTTACCGGGGGAATCATCAGGAGAGTTCGCATTTCTCGATCGTGTCTCCGCCTTAATCGCCAAAGCAATGATTAGTTAGGCATAAGTCCCTGGCTCGGCTCCGACCCGTCTTGTTCTCTGACCAACGTTTACGTAACACGGTCCACGTAATCCTCGGAGTTTGTGCCCAAACCGCCGTTCCCATGCGAATAGAGAAGATGGAAATGTATACTGCGTAAACGACGAGGCGCTAAGTTTGATTAATGCCCGGATGGGATAACAGAGATTTTAATCATACCTTGAGGAGTACTTGACCCTCCCTTGTCCATCCCTTACTGTCGAATTGATACAAAAGTTAATATAACGAGAAGATAAATAGCCATTCCATTTGAAGAAGATACGCACCAACATTACGATCGTTTGTTCTAGTTTGTTCTTATTCATTCAGCAGTATGCTTCAATGCTTCAACTCAAAATTATAGATATCTATGTACACGAGTCTTTGAAAAATTGTACGCATATCGAGAAACTTAAAAATGTGAAGAAATTAATACAAGAAAGGCATGAAAGTTAATATAAGAAATGTATTGTTATAAGAATGCTTAACACAGAGTGGCATAATATGCTACCGTCAGTGGCGGTGTATATTTGAAATTTTCGGTCCAAACAAAATTACAACTGGAGACAATTACAGCGCGCTCGACAACGCCTTGAGCATTTAGTTTCCGGATTAGCCGGCCGGTCGGCTGCAATTTAAACTCCATGGCAGATTCGTGATTGTTTGCCAACCGGATGTCACCGCTGTAACCGAGAGGTAAAAGTGAAAACGCCG